AGCAATCTTCAGTTTGGCAAATCATCTAAAAGTTTTCCAGAATTATAATCCAAGTTTCTATCCTTTGTCGTGTCATTTTTCTACACCCTTTGGAATCGAAATAAAAATTTAGTTCGCAATTTGTCTTTGAACCCGGTTCGTTTGCTTCTTTTTCTGTTGACTCTCATTTGTGCCAAAATTCCAGGTTACACAATGATACATGTACATGCAGTATTGAATTATTCCATCTGGCACAGTGTAAACAAATTAATTGAAACGGCTATATTCAAATCAATGGATCATACCTATGAGGATGAACAAACTGGCTAACATCATGGTTTCTTTAGTGTTTAAATACATGCATGTATTTCAATCAATACTGCTGAGTTCCACACTTGTAAATCTCACCACAAATTTGAATATGTAGGAATTTTTTTGAAAGTTAACATATGGCAATAGCAATTGCATTCCCAACCAAGCTGAGCACTCCCCTGATGGTGACTAATCAATGCATTCATTTTCATTTGTATTTCATTCAGATTCACCGCCTATCACTCATCGGTGGAGCGAGCCTTGGAAAGGTGGTTCGAGGTATAATGATTGACTTAATCTCCACCTCCTTGGCCAAGAGTTGCAACTGGTTGGGACAGAGAGGACCCAAGAAGCTTTCAGTGCCCTGAAAAATATTGTCAATGTGATAATCAGTAAGTTTCATTTTCATTTTTTCCATGAAAGTCCAACAGCATTTTTGTTTCGAACTAATAAAATGCTGATGCATGTAGCTGTTAGTGTGAAAACATCAGTATCGATTCAAATCCAATATATATTTCACTTTGTGTTTAACTTTTTATAACCATATTGCACACCCGCTCCCATGTGTTCACAAATATTCACTGAAGTGTGTGGTGTTATATAAGATAAATGTAATATTCATTGCTTCAGGTTTGTTTTTACTGCAACTGCCTGCATTTATATTGATTGTAATGAACTGAATTTAGGAAATGCATGGGGGACTAAAAAGCATTCTCTTATCCAGACAGACAAGTATTTCTCACAAAGGAATTAGGAAGTCTCTGTGCAAAAGAGTAACCTGCAAAATATCCCTCTTTTCACAAACAAAACTCCTAAAATCAATGTTGATATTATTTAGTGACAAGTTTGTTTTTATTTTCCCCAGAGTCTGTCCGCCAAAATGCTGGCTTTGAAGGTACCAGTCAAGAGGCTATTCAAGAAGCCGTTGCGAATCACCTTCGCTACAGCTTTGACTTGGATGGCCAGGGTTCCTTGCGCAAATCAAGGAGCAAACCGTCGGCCAGATCTGCAGAGGCTGAAGCAAGACCTACAGAGGCTGCAGAAGAGTCCGATATTGAGATGGAAGAGGTGTGAAGACCATCTAAATGGGGGGTATATATAGGGTACATTGTGATTTTGGGGTAATGAATCACTCTGGTCTCGACAAATTTCAGGAACCTTGTATTATAAGGAATGAAAACAATGATAGTTGAATGGGAAGTACACATTTCATCAATAGATAAGCAGATTCTTTTATTTACAGTGTTATATTACTAGGGTTGAACTATATTTAACCATTTTCAGTGTACACTCTACTTGCATTTTTTCATTGTGTTAATACATTGTTTCATGCATTTTCTTATTGTTACAACAAATGATTGTAACTGCTTTTCCCTAAGTTTCTTGCCTTAACTAGGAAAAGAATTGACTTACATTAATTGCCAAGATTGCTTCAGGTTTTTGCACCAGAGCCAGCTGCTGTTGTAAATATGTATATGTATGTGTAATCCATTATTATTGAAATGTCAATGGTAGTTGTGAGTACAGGCATTCACTGTACCTTCTATTCTCAGGGTTAAGAAAGAATGCATCACTTTTTAAGTTGAAATATGTACAATGTAGATGTTCTGAATAAAGAACGAAAATATTGAATCAAACGTATATGTACAATGTATGTACTATTCTGGCAGCATGTTTATTGTGACATGAGGTCTCATTCTCTTTAGTCTTGAAGCACTCCAATAGTTTATAATCTACCGATATCTCCCCCCCCACAAAACGTTACAATAATTCCTTTGATATAAATTGTATAATGTAAGACACAATAGGGACAGTGGATGGGGGGTATGTTTATACCCATTGTCACTTATGCATGTTTTGTATGTTTGTGTGTACATGTGCAATGTACATGCATTTGCTGTGTTACTAGCTGGTACCTGTATATGCACAGGTCTTGCATCAGATATTTACAAACACTTGTAATTCGCATTTTTAGACTTTTTTTATTTTACTACTCGAGTATATTCTTGGAATAAACTGAATTTGCTAGAATTCGTGATTTTTGTTTGTTCTTGTTGGAATGTTCTTGGGTATTTGTTGGAAGTGTATTTAGTTTGGTTGGATATTAGGAATATTATGTTGGAGCAATGTTGGATGTTTGTTGGACTTGGACAAACAACCTAGGTTTGTTGGATATTGTTGGAATTATGTGAATCCTACGTTGGAGCAACATTGGATCCCGGCAACGTTGCTTCCACATGCAAAATAACCTTGGTCCAACATTGCCAGCCAACGTTGCTCCAATGTTGACCTTCATATTTGACAACGTTGCTCCAATGTTGGATATCAACATTGGCTTGCTACCTGGGTTCAGTGAATAAACTCAATCATGTGAATGATTTCAAAAGAAAAGTTACTCTGAACTTAATGTACAAGGCCAGTGAATAGATTTATATTCAAAGACTTAGTCCTTTCCCCTGCTTGGGTTAATGATCACTCGTAGGAATCCTTTAAGTACACTATACATGGGAACACCTTTGAGAATTCCAATGGCCAAAGCTCATATTCCTCTAAGAAATCATTCCTAACCTGGCAATAGTCTTTTAAACAAACTAAGAGGGGGGTTGTACACAACAAGCTAAACAACAGATTATCCCAAGCTAGCATAGACACTACCTTGCCTCAGGCTGTAATCTGCCTTGGAAGCTAGAGCAAACATCTCATAAACAACCCTTTGTCTCTCTCTTGGAAAACCACAAACCATGTGTGCTGGCATGTAGCCTTACATCCTGCATGTCTTAGTGCACATGCATGTACATGTACATGCACCATGCTTTTACACTGACATCAAATTGTGCACATGTAATAAATTTACATTTGAACTTTCTTTAGTCTAGTGTTGCACACCCGCAAATCTTGGAATTCTAGGGCCCCCTAGTTTTACTCGTTCTCGGTCCTTGCAATTCTCAGGGTCTCTTGTAGTGTTTTTTCCCCTTGTAAAAATAAGAACACTTGCATCTACAGTAGATCCCATGTACATTTTTCCCAGCAGTAGATTAGCAGCCTTTAACTTTTGACCCTGTAATGTCAAGCCTCCTAATTGATTTAAGAGCACTCCTACACAGGACCCACTTTTATTGCTTTGGCCTTCTTACCACATTCCTCTGGCAGACTTCTGGTCTAGGATTTATTAATTTATAATTAGATTTTAGTTAGATTTACCCTTGTTCTTCCGGCTTGTGTTCCCAACCCTATTTTCACTACTTCGTCACTTTTAGCCAGTCTCATCACAACCACTCTCCAAGCAACATCTCTGTGCGCAGTACTCCCACTCTCTCTTGTACAAGCTGTGAAATAGTTTAGAATAAAAGTTCCTCTCTCAAAAGCTAGTACCTGTTGTCAACATTGTTCCTGTTTATACAACACTACTAAATTGGTGACCCAGACGTGATCTGAACATGCCACTAGAAGAAACACCAGAAGTGGGCTTGACTGCCACACCCATGACAGCTGCAGTTAGCCTGAAACTACCTCAGTACTGGCCAGCAGATCCACATGTATGGTTTGCTCAGGTGGAGGCCCAGTTTGCCACAAGAGGGATCAATGCGGAGAAAACGAAATACAACCTCTCACCCCGTCAATTGCCCAGGAAGTCAGGGACATCCTCCTAAATCCTCCACAAGACACCCCCTACAAAACCCTGCGTGAGGAGCTGATCAAAAGAACAACGGCAACTGAACAAAAACGACTACAGCAGCTCCTGACAGACGAGGTACTTGGCGATCGTAAGCCGACACAGTTACTGCGGCGGATGCACCAA